CTAGCCCAAGTTTATTTTATACTTTATCTTCACTTTTTCGAGGAGTAAACAAAAGTATTACAGGTATAAACACACCAATTTCATAGCAGCCTTTCTGTCTTGGGTTTCATCAATGTCAATAATGTTTTAGTTTTTTTTTTTTTTTTTTTCTTCCTGGAATTTATTTATTTGCTCAGGGTCTCATGTATTCCGGGTTGATTTCAAATTCAGTATGTAGAGGAAGAAGATCTTGATCTCTTACTTTTACTTCCCACTAGTGCTGGGAATCCAATCTGGAGTTTTGTATATAATAGACAAGCACTCTATCAGCTGAGTGCACAACCACCCCCCACACACCGAGCTCAGATAATCTTAGCATGATCACTTGATGGAGAAAGTGAACGAGAGAGTGATTGACATCTACCACCTGAAGCTAGGCATCAGAAAATAGTGCTTAACAAACTCAAAAGCCTGAATTCTGGGGACAAAACTTTTTTCTCATTAGATCATGAGACAAGTTTAAAACACTGAATCTACTCAACATTTGTAAAATTATGCAGGAACTGCTTTCAAGTTTGAGCTCTTGATACCAAGCAGAGTGTGGCATCAGGGATGGCAGTAAAGTAACTTTGATCCAGAGTTTAGAAATGCTATTACAGTCTGTCCTCACTAAGAATAACAATGATATTCTCTCTTAGCTAGGAGGAGATGGAAACTCAGGGGAAGCTAATGATGTCTAATCAGAGAAGAGTTAGCAAAGACAGATGGGGACTGAAACCTGGGTCTTTGAAATCCAAGTTCAATGAGGATGCACTTTGGGAGAGAGGGGCTTCTGCCTTCCAGAGGTGACCAAGAAGTGGGTGAAGCCATACTCATCAGTACCTCCACCAGAGAGCAGAGAGGAACAGGCATCAGAAGCACTTCTAGTGAAGGGACAGAGCCTGTGTGGTGCCTGTAACCTAAAACAAACACTCTAGGAAGAATAAGTATGTGCATTACACAGTTGATGGAATATAAACAGTCACCTTCTGCAACAGCAGACTGGAGAGAATTTTATCACACGCATGCCCAGGTTGGTTCAGGGTGTGGAAACCTATAGGCACATAAATAGAAATAGGAACAATTAAATACATAAATAAAAATGGGAACACTTAGGCAAGCAAGAAGAAGGGAAAGGAGACCAGGAGGCATAGTTAGAAAAATATATATATTTAGGGAATTTCCTCTTTGTTTTGTTTCATTCTGGTTTTTGAGACAAAGTCTCATGTAACCCAGACAATCCTCAAACTCCCTATATGGATGCTGGCCTTGAATGTCTGATCCTTCTCTGCCTCCCAAGTACAGTTAAAATTGTGTGCCACTACACCCCATTCTTCCTTTTTAAGTTCAGGAATCAAAGAGCAGCTGTATTTTGGTAAGAATGGAACTGTGAGAGTGCATGCTCTAGAACTGAACCTTCTCCTAGATGTGGGACAATTACAAATATGGGTGGGAGGTGGAGGAGGCAGTACCAAAGCTGCTTTGAGCAACTGGAAATTCAAGAGTGGTTACAAGATACCTTGACTACCAGTCTCTACCTAAGTGCTTCCACGCCCGTGCTTGCAGAAGGTACATACTCTCCCCGTTTCGAGAGCACAAAGAATCTTCAACTTGTAAAAGCCTGTTTGCAACAGATGCTGATGGCAGCCGTGTCGTGGTGCATATGACAGGCAGGGACCTTGGTAAGCTAGGCAGAAGGACCCTGGCAGTCCCAATCTGCCCCCACTCCTCCCAGACGCTGCCACCACAGGTAAGGTTCTCAGTGCACGTTGTTCAGCTTGCTTTATCAAAGCTAAATTCACCTGATTAACTACACAGAATAAGAACTCTGGCGAGCTAACAGATATCAATTCAGCCTCAAGCCAATTACTTAGAGCAGTTCATTTCTCTGTGATCTCTGTGACCCTATACTTCTCTAAGTAGTTAGAGAGATGGCCATAGAAAACCCCTAGTTTAGAGGGGTGGATAAAAATATCTACAGAAAGAGCCCCTTACTCTGGCTACTGACTCTTTACTAGTGCCAACTCTAACTGTGTCCATCTAAGCCAGGAGCTAGAGGTTGGCAGCCTCAACATTTCTGAAGAAACCACTCTTTCTCATCACCCTGGTTTCAGAGTTGGCAATCACTAAGACTTGCAGGAATGGCGTGAGGATTACAGGATTCTTATCAGTCTTAAGATCATTTTGTCACCAACTAACCCTATGCTGTATTTACACTGTCCTAAGTCATACATTGTTTTAACATGTCAAATGTAACAATGAAATACCTCTAGTTTCCCGGTGCAATAAGATACTGTTAAACATCTATAGGTGTCCACAAGAACATCCCATAGGCACTACATTGAAACAGATGAGGAACTGACCATCTGTACTTAACCAAGGTAACAAAGCCAGTAGTTGGAGGCAAGAGTAGCTGCTCAGTGGTTCCCAGCCTCCCTAATGCAGTGACCCTTTAATACAGTTCCTCATGTTGTGGTGACCCCAACCATAAAATCGTTTCCATCGATACCTCATAACTGTAATTTTGCTACTGTTATGAATCATAATGTAAATATTCTTAGAGAGAGCCTACTGAAGGCGACGTGACCCACAGGTTGAGAAACACTGATTTAGCTAAACTCTAGCATTTTGTTCTATTGAGCCAAACATATAAAATGGTGTTCTAGACTGTACAGAAGACAGAGCATTATGAAGCATTTTTCTACTTAAAGTTCCCATATTGGTAATGCTCTCAATAGCATTTAAATTTTGTTCATTTCGTTCACCTTCATAGTAAGACTTTCTAACTAGAAGCGGGAAAGCTTGACCTCACCAACACTGCTATCATTTTTTAAACAGGTAAGGCAGCCTCAGGCCATGCTTAGTAAGGGATTTATCATGACTCAAGAACTCCCAGCCATTAGCCTCGCATTGTGGCACATACCTTCAATCCCAGCAACTGGAAGGTAGAGGCAGGCGGATCTCTCTGAGTTCGAGGCCAGCCTGATGTAGTGTGTTCCAGGACAGCCAGAGCTACATAGTAAGGCCCTGTCTTGAAACAAACAAACAAAACTGACTAGTAGAAGCCAGAAGCCAGGTTTTGGTACATGCCTATAATCCCAGCATAGCACAGGATGATTACAAATTTATTGGCCAGCCTGGTAATGAAGGTGCTAATTATCATGCCCAAAACTAGAAGCCAGCCTTTGTGACAGCTAATATTTCCATGTTCTGTGTCGTTCACAGGAGGGGAAGGATGTGATTGCACAAAGCAGTTGATAGGCGCTTGACGAAGACTGGTCTTCAATTCCGCCTCTCATCTTTGCCTCCCCCCC